GGAGTTTTGTGCGCTTCACAGCATTGTGTTTAGAGGCACAGCACCTTATGGGGGTGCAAAGGGCAGTCACAGACTGTCTCAGCAGAGAGTTCTCCTCTCACCACGAGTGGGCTCTTCACCCCAAGGGGGTCGCTTGAGAGAGGCTCCCTGCTGGATGCATTCCTCTTTCAGTGCTTGGAGGGCCTCCTCTATGCCTTCCCTCCGTTTTCCCTCATTGGCAAAGTCTTGAGGGACAAGATGACAATGATTCTTATTGTGCCACCTTGGCCCCTCCAGCACTGGTTCAGGGCACTCGAGAGAGGCTCCCTGCTGGATGCATTCCTCTTTCAGTGCTTGGAGGGCCTCCTCTATGCCTTCCCTCCGTTTTCCCTCATTGGCAAAGTCTTGAGGGACAAGATGACAATGATTCTTATTGTGCCACCTTGGCCCCTCCAGCACTGGTTCAGGGCACTCTCTTGAGAGTAGAAAAACCCTCAACGCGGTCTACCTACGTAGCAAAGTGGACACGTTTTTTCTACATAGGCACAGCAAGGCAAGTCAGCCGGTCCAAAGCTTCCCTTTAGGAGATCCTGGGTTTACCTGTCCTACCTTAAACAGCAGGGGCTAGCCCTAGCCACCATTAGAATACACCTGGTGGCCATTTCTGCATTTCATCTGCCCCTCTTAGGCCATTCTGTTGTCTTGCACAACATCACATCCCAGTTCCTGAAGTGTCTGAAACGGCTCTTTCCTCAGACCTGGGATCCTCTCCCACAGTGGGACTTAAACCTGGTCTTGGCATGGTGCACGGGACTACCAGTTGAGCGCCCCCCCCCATTGCTCTCTTTCAAGGTGGCCTTCCTAGTCTCAATTTCGTTGGCTAGAAGAGTGTCTGAGCTTCGAGCTCTGACATCGGAGCTTCTGTACACCCAGCTCTTCAGGGACAAGGTCCAGCTGCAGCCTCATCTGGCCTTCCTTCCCAAGGTGGTTTCTGCCTTTCACTTGGATCAGGATAGTTTTCTGCCCATCTTTATCCCAAGCCTCACACAAACAATGAGGAGAGTCATCCCCACACACTGGACGTCCAGAGATCACTAGCATTCTACTTAAAAAGAACGAGGCCCTTCTGCAAGTCCACACAGCTCTTTGTGGCCTATGTGGAGATGGGACAGGGTTCCCAGAGACTCTTGAAATGGATCATCTCCTGTATCCGTACGTGCTATGACTTGGCAGGGGCGCATTCTACCAGAGCTCAAGCTCTGTTGCGTGCTTATCTCGCACATGTTCTGATCCAGGATATCTGTCAAGCAGTGACGTGGTCATCAATGCATACTTTCACGTTGCACTATGCTATCACGCAGCAGGCTAGGGAGGACGCTGTGTTTGGCAGGGCTGTACTGCGGTCTGCATGTCCTTAACTATCCACCTCCACAGACACTACTTACAGTCACCTATGTTGAATGGACATGAGCAAGTACTCGAAGAAGAAAACCCTGTAACTGGTGTTCAAGATGTGTTGCTCGTGTCCATTCAACTTCCCGCCCTCCTCCCCTCTGTCGGAGTTTTGGTAAGAGGGAACTGAGGAGGGATGGACCGGGGAGTGTCCTATATAGCGTGGCATATGTGTACCTCTCCAGGGGGAGCTGGGATCCCGGCCCCTATGGGTATTGTTTAGGAAAAAACTTATGGTACCAGTGCCTGTGGCAGGCGCACACACCTATGTTGAATGGATATGAGCAACACATCTCGCAGAGCACCAGTTGCAGAATAGGTAACTCTATTTCCCTGCCCCCCCCCATTCTAGTTTTGAGACTAGTGTCCACTAATATAGGTCCTTAATAATAATATATATGGAGATATACCTATCTCATGGAGCTGGAAGGGACCTTGAAAGGTTATTGGGTCCAGTCCCCTGCCCTCCTGGCAGGACCAAGTACCATCCCTGACAGATTTGCCCTAGATCCCTAAATGGCCTCCTCAAGGATTGAGGTCACAACCCTGGGTTTAGCAGGCTAATGCTCAAACCACTGAACTATCCCTCCCCCTGTGCTTCATTATGTATAAATTCTCTCTCTCTAAATCTTTTAGGAAAATGTTCTGTTTGCCCATTATTGACCCTTTTAATTGCCCTCCCCTTCATAACTCTCAGTTGACAGCCTGAAACCAATTCTATGTCTACTCCATGATGCTCCTTAGGCAAATACTGTGTCATAGTTCACTTCAAACATTGATATATTAAGACTTCTATGTTCTCTGTAATTTTATTTGAGATGATTAACTGTTTGTGGCATAACATACTTTTCATGAATCTCATGATCTAAGTTCTCTATAAGATGTGCAGCAGGGCAGCCATGCAGCTACTAATTGAGCCCTGCCCAAAAGCTTAGGGGTGCTGCACAGAGAGCTTCCTGGCTGGGGAGAGGCACTCCCTCGGCAACAGCTTCCTGCTCCAAACAGTGAGCATGCTGGTAGGGAAGGGGACATGAGGGAGGGACATGAGGCTTGAGTTGTTAGAATGGACAATACTACATGTACTGTATCAATCTTCATTGACATTTCTCATTATTCCCTGATGCTGGCATCTCAGAAGCACCATCTCAAATGGGAGTTTCTGCAGCTGTTGTGATGGGATGAATCTCAGAAGTCCCCTTAGGGTTGTCCCCTGTTGTGCTGATCATGCCACTGATACCTTCCTTCCTGCCCTCTGGGGCTCCCTAGCATCCTGTCCCACTGGGTCAGAAGCTCTGGTCTCCCAAGACAGGGCACAGAGTTGGAATTACTACTCCCATTCACATCCATTGAACCTGGTCAGATCTGGGAGGGCTTGGCTATAAGGAAACCACCCCCTAACAGGGACCAAAACTCCAAGTAAATCCATCTCATCCCCTGTAAAAGTTATAAAACTTATAAGGTCAGCCCCCTTTATCACTGAAAGAGAGATGCACACTGGTTGCTCCCCCTCCCCTGTAACAATTATTTACTCAGGACTTGATAAGACAAGTGTGTTTATTAAGTACAAAAATAGAATGTGAGTGGTTACAAGTGAAAACAGGTCAAACTGAGTTATTCAATTAAAATGAACAAAATGCTTAGCTAGTTCTAACCTTACACAGTTGTTCTTATCTCAGGTAAAAAGCTTCAAGTCAGTTGATCTTTACTCTGGCTTGGGTCTATAGCTTGACAGAGTTCTTTGTTGTCAGGTATTCTTTGGGTAGCCCAGGTAGTTTCAAAGGACAGCTGAAGACAAACGTTTGATTGCTTCCCACTACTTAAATGGACTTTCCCCAGAATGGGAACCCTTTGTTCAGTGGTCAGAGAAAGTGTATAAGCCTTAGTGACTGCCTTTTACTCTCCTTTCCTGTGTCAGTAAATATTGTATTAATATTTTCAAGGAGAGCATGACTATTTCTAGTTTACTCATATATTTGTTTAGCATCTTAAAGCTGTGCATATTTTCAGGCTTTAACTTAATGGCCATGTCTTTGATTTATTTATATAGCTATTTGCGGTATGAACCATTTTGGCGTTTACACTAGCTTGAGTTGTTACAACAATAATACGTGTTACCCCAAGGGTAGTATTCATTTTCTTTATTGGATTTCATATTAAGCAAACATCTTAAGCATTGCTCCTTATTAACTATCCCTTGTTTTAATGTATTGTCTTCCATACCTATGGACTGTTTAAAATATATATGTATACCTAGGTTTTTTATTTGTACTGGGACACACTGCACATCCACATACAACCTCAATATTGGTGGTGCACATCAGAAATGTCAACCCATCCAAGGATGAAGAATGTTAGAGGGAATACTGCCTTCTGCTCTGAACCATTTTGACTCAAAGCCCTAACGGGGGTTGCATTGCTCAAAGCATGTGTGCAATGACTGGAGCAGGGCTGGCCAGCCTATGGTGCACAGTGCATCAGGGTAATCCGCTGGTGGATCGTGAGACATTGTTTACTTTGAC